ATTGTAAATAAAGCACATGTGATACCAGCCATCAAAAGGATGCGCCATGATCGTATTACGCCTGCCAAAATATTCTTAACATGCACTTTGGTGATGCTCAAATGCAGAGTTAGTTTGAAATTCCGTAGTAAAAAAAGGGAATGAACTTTTTGTCCCGGTTGGACTTGTAACTTGACAAGAAAGTTGCTAATGATGACGGGGTCATCACTAGTCGAGAGAGATATTTTGTGGGGCTTTAGACAAGCAGCAACCCATCCATGGCAGTGGTGGAGCTCAACCCCAGCATCTGCTAGGTCCAAGTACCTCTCTCCATCCACTTGGCCTTGAAGGAAGATGCTACGTTTTTTCCAGGATGCAGAGGCACCTAAATCCCAGGGCCAAGGCAAAACTGCTGCTAAGGAGAAACATTTACGATCTTCTGAGCCGGAGCCTGCTGACAGCTTAATGACCATTTTGTTTTTCAAGCAGTGGTTTTATATTTACGACCTAAAGGGGGAGAGATATGTGGAGGCAGGCAATCAGAAGGCCATCAGCCCTTTGCTCCTGACCCACTGCTGTCCAACTGCATCCAACAGCAGCTCCAGGAAGTCATAAAAAACGATTTTGTTTCCATTTCCCCCCCAAACTTATTTTTTGGGGGGAGGGGGCAGGAGGAGATGGGGAGGACAGAGGGACTGTATATCTTGAATATTCATCCCAGGAAACAGTATCAAATATTAATGCCAGGAAGCGTCACAAGAAAGCACACCGGAAACCAGAGACCATGTATGTTTGCAGTCTGTCTCAGAGGAAGATGTCCTGCCATAACACATAAGTTTTTCCCTACTATTTGGACAGAACGTAAGCTGTTTTCAAGAGGGATAAAAGGAGTAGTCTTTGGCCAAAGGGATGCAAGATGGGCTTGCAACAATGCTCTGCAGCCTAGGGTTAACTTGAAGGCCTCATTGGTGACTTTGGTGCTAAAAAGAAATATTCTTTCTGGGCAATAAGCAACAACACAGTGGGCAAATCAATAGGATTTAAGCTTTCTATATATAAAAAAAAGCTTGCCCCCAAATGAGTGAACTTAATAACTTGGGGGATTTTTTTTTGAGGTGGTTGGTTGCAGAGTCTCATTCTGAGGATGCTCATCAAATAACATTCCATTTAAAATATTCACATGTTGGGGCATCTGTGTGAAACAGGCACCATGCACTACAAACCCTCCAACTCCATAAATGCAATGTCCAGTCTTTATAAATGCTTCAGATAGGAAAAAGTTTATTTCACAGTAGGACATTATATTATAATTATGATTGATTTATATCAATGCACAAAGTAACATTGTTTCTTTATTTCAAATATATATATATATACTCCACTTGGTTGTAAAAACAAACACACAGACAAACTCAAAGTGGGTTTACAAAAGGATAAAACAATAAAATTGATGAAAAACTCACAGCCGCACTTGAAAACATACAAAAGTTAAAATAACTAAAAATGGATTAAAAATACCTCAACATAAGCAAAAGAGAAGGGAAAACCCTATCCCAAAGGAGCTTACAACCTCAAGTTAAACAATACAGACAACAACAGGAGAGAGGAAGAGGAGACGAGGATAAAGAAGGGATGAAAAAGAACAATTGTGTGCAGACCACATCACTTATTTAAGAACTTCAACGGTTATGGGCTCCCACAAAGAATCTTGGGAACTGTCGTTTGTTAAGAGGTGCTGACAACTGGAAGGAGATACCTCACAAAGCTACAGTTCCCAGAAGACAATTCCCAGCTCCTAGGACTCTTCGAGGAAAGCCATGGATGTACATGTACTTTAAATGCTTGGTGTGAATGTGATCAAGTTGTGGATGAAGATGACTAAAAGGATGGAGAGTGGTCAAAGAAGTAGGCTTTGGGGATCAAAGGGAAAGAGAAAGAGCTGGCACCATGACTGTGTACTGGAAGCAGGTGTTCTAGGCCTAAAGGACAGGGAGGGAGAACGGGTCCAACCATTTAAGACCATCAGAGATTTGTAGCTGACGGTGGTAGGGTGAGTGGGGAGCAACGGTCATGGGGCAAAGATATGACATGAAAAGCTTTGAACTGAATGGCCAAAAGGGCTTTCTGTTGCTTGAAGAGGAATATGTGAGAGTCAGTATAGCAGGGATGGCACACTTACAGCCTTCTGGGAGTTGCTGGGTTCTAGCTTCCATCATCCCTGACCACTGGCTATACTAGCTGGGGCCGATGGGGAGCTAGAGTGCAGACATTTGTAGGGTCACCAGATCCTCATCCCTGTTAGTACGGGGGGCTTGAGGAGGTGTGTCACCCCCATTGTCTGAGAAGCCCAGAGGTACAGGTGAGTGTGGCAAACAGTAAACAACAGGGATACCCTCGAAACCTGCTGCCCCCTCCAAACTTAGGCTACTGCCACACACTTTTGCTAGCAGGTTCTTTTGTGCACCAGCGGAACGGTGGCAATTTAAGCAAAAATATATATTCATCTTTGCTACACAGGTACTTCGCAAAACTGCTTCAAGGCTTCGCTGGATGGAGCTGTATTGCAGGTGGAATAAGAAACTGAAAGAAGCTCAAGGCATTCTTTTTATCAAGGGTTACATAAATATTCATTTAAAGCAAAGAACGCTTAAGAATCAAAAATGAACAAACATTAAAAAGGCATGCCCAGCATTTCTTTACTACGACAACAACAACGTGGCTCCGAGACAATTTCCCAAATGTCACAGAGGTTTTCTCTGGGAAGCAAATTGCAACCATTAGGGGTGGGGTGGGCAAAGGGAAAATATCCTCCTCTCCCTTAGCTTGCGTTGTCGGTAGTCCGGGTGCAGGAGATGAAGACAGATGGTCTTCAAACACCCACGCTTCCCAAGATCCAGTGTGCCTACAAAGTGCTTCCATTGGTCCTCTTACCCGCCCACAAGGATTTGGAAATCTGAGCTGGATTTTGTCCATCTGCCACATCAAGAAGGGGCAAGGCTGAAAAGGGACAACACACGATACCCAACCCACAAAGGCTCTTTCAGGGGAAAGACAGTACAGCACACCTAGCCTTCCCTAGAAGAGGGGGAGAGCACACCAACCCACAGCTGAAGGGGGGAACTGCATAGAGTTTAGAGCGCAGCTTGGTGGCCGAGAGCTAAAATCTGAAAAAGAGAGGTGTGGGGAAAATATTTCTACTGGAGCTTTTAAGGATTCATGCCACCCATTCCCACCTTTTCATCAAGAGATCGACATGCAGAGAGAGACTTAACAATAAATAATTTGACACTATTTCTGAAGCTATGCATGGGGCAGGAGGGGGGTAGAGATGGGGCTGTGACAACAACGGTTCAGATCATTCCTTGCAAGCTCCAATATTTACCATTGCAATGAAGTACTTGGAGCTGGAAAAGCATTCTGGTTATTAATATGCAAATGAGCAGCGGTGAGCGGTGGGTTGCGGGGGGGGGGGAGAGAGAAAGGCTCCCTTTGCTGCAGGGAACAGAACTGTATGGGCTTTAAATAGCACAGCACAGTTAATGGGTCAGGACTCTGCGCACAGCCAGGGCAAGGCCAGGGAAGGGCCTGCCAGCCTGCTCAGCACCTTGCCCTACAGCAGATGATGCAGTGAAAATATATACAGACTGGCCTGGACTTGCAGCCTCTGTGCCTGGTGTTTATTTACCCAGCATGAAGATGCGATTGCGTTTTACAACTCCTGGAAGCTGAATTAGAATGTATTTAAAAACCAGCCCCACCTTGGCTTTGGTTAGAATGGCACTCTCTTCCTTGCCTGCAGTGTTAGCCCTGAATTTGGGGGGAATAGGGGCTGGGAAAGATGCATGTTTTATGTGGTCTTTGAGAGGGAAATCTCAGGGGTGCTGGGCTCCTCTGGCTGCTGCCGAACTCTAGCACCCATCATCCTGAGCCACTGGTTGTGGCTGATGAGAGCTGGAGCTCAACCTCACTTGGAGAGTAATAGTTTCTGCAACCCTGACTTCAAAAGAACCACGGACAAGGAGAACAGACAGTATCGGGCTGGACTGACCAACAGTCTGACTCAACAAAAGACTCCTGTGTTCACACTAGTCTCTCTCGCACACAAAGAGAGAAAGAAAAGCCTCAGAGAAAGCCTAAATATTACATTGCTGGCTTCGTTTATTTTGGTCCGACTTCAAGGGAACCAAACCAAACCCACAAAACTGCAAACTGGTTTGAGCAGCTTTCACCACATTGTTGAGATTCGCCATTTGTAAGCCCCATGAGCAAGTGAGCAACTGTTGCCTGTACAATCCTCTCTCCCTCTCGACTTCCCCGTGCAACAACCTTGCATTCGCTCGCCAGGCTTTCCTCTCTGAGATTTACACCAAGCGATGGGGTGGGGGTGGGGGTACCCAAAAGGCCCCTCTCGGCCCGACAGATCTGAAGTCCCTGCACTGACGGCAAGCAGTCCAGCAGCTGTCTCTCATTAGCACGTTGGTTTCCTCAGTTCCATCATGGAAGAAACGGCTCAGCAGGAGAAAACTGGACAGTGTTACACTTTTCTTCTGCCTTCATTCCACGACTTAATTTGATGAGGGAGGGGGAATGCTTCAAGGGACGTCTTTTGTGCTTAATAAAGGCATTCATCCCACCTAGGCCTTCCCCAGGATTGCTGCCCTCTCATTCCACTTCCTGTTTCGATCACCGCTGGTGAAGCCAGTTAAAACTGCTCCTTCTTACAGAGGTGAACTCCCCGCCCCTCACCACAGTAGCGGCATTAATACATCCCAGTAGGGTTTTGTCCTGCCCCAGCGAGCAGAGCAGACAGGCCATGGGGTGGGGGGTGGGGAGACTGGCTGTGGCTGTGGGCCTGAAGAATGCCTTCCTTCTCTCTTTATCTGTTGCCTCGGGCTCTTCTACCAGGGCGTCTGCAGATAATCAAGGAGCAGATTTGAAACCCAGGCGCCAGACAGGATCTTTATCTCCCTGTAAAGAGGAATTGGATCAAGGCAACAAGTACAACGTCTCTCTTTTTTTTTCAGAAGGAGAAACACACCCTCCAAACAAACAAAATGTAATAGGAGGAGGAGATGGAGGAGGGAAGCTGCTTTCTCAGTGGGTGAACATAGCCAAAGCTGTTCATGCTACTGGATAGGGAAATCAAGGGGAGAGGGACAACTCAGCAAAGTTACCAGAGGTAGGCCAATATGGCAATTGCAGCAGCGAGTCCATTCCCTTTTGAGTAGCATGGCTTCCTTCCATAACTCCACTCGCATAGTATGGAGTGTTCTGCTGTACGAAGCATATTACGACCAAGCAGTCTCCACTCAACAATTCCCCTACACTCCTCCCAAATCAAATGGATTCGGTTTCCTAATTAGGCATGTCCCAATGCAATTGGCTTGTGGTACCGGTTTGATTGAACTGAACGGCAATTTGTTGGCAATATATATTCTGCATATATAACTCCACTCTCCCACAAGGTCTTCTGCCATGCCCCTGAGGGTTATCTCCTTATTTCCATCATCTCCTGGTCTTCATAAGGTTTGCAGGGACATACATTGCTCAAGTCCCAGTGCCTAAACATCCAAGGTTGCACAGGGAGCATCGTGAATCCCAAGTAATGAATCTGGTCACAGTATAAAATTCCCTGGACTCTTTGAGCAGATGTCAAAAGGTGTCCCTCCAGTACGGAGCCCAGTTGGTAGACTCTTAATCTCAGGGTCATGGGTTCGAGCCCCATGTTGGACAAAAGATTCTTGCACTGCAGGGAGTTGGATTAGATGATCCTTGTGGTCCCTTCCAACTCAACAGTTCTGTGATAGGAAGCTGCCTTTCACTAATCCACCTAGTTCAGTAATGTTTCCACTGACAGACAATGGCTCTCCAGGGCAGCCGTCTCTCCCAGTCCTACCTGGAGATGCTGGGGATTGAACCTGGGACGTTCTGCATGCAAAACAGTTGTCCTGCTCCTTTGCTAGGGCTGTTCCCCATGGCCTTGATGCACCGTTCAGACACCAAACTCCTGCCTTCATGTACCAAGCTTTACTCAAGCTTCTTCCTTTTAAATAGGTAAATTAAATCATCAAAGGTTGGTGTAGAAATGGGACAGACAGACTTACGGACACATGTGAAACTGGAATGGTCTAGAAACAGGTGGAGCCATCCCTACTCCTGCATAAACATGCCCTGGGTGCCCTGTTGGAGATGGAATAAATTAAACAGGTTTGAGGCATCTGAGAGTAGAGAGGGAAGTTAAACAATCTGGGAAACTCAGTAGCTTGATGAAAGAGCACATGCTTTGCTGGTGGAGCATCAGATGAGACTCTTGGTTTGGACAGTAAGCTACATACAGTCGCAGTCTAAAGCACAGAAGAAGAAGAAGAAGAAGAAGAAGAAGAAGAAGAAGAAGAAGAAGAAGAAGAGTTGTTTGGATTTGATATCCCGCTTTATCACTACCCAAAGGAGTCTCAAAGCGGCTAACATTCTCCTTTCCCTTCCTCCCCCACAACAAACACTCTGTGAGGTGAGTGGGGCTGAGAGACTTCAGAGAAGTGTGACTAACCCAAGGTCACCCAGCAGCTGCATGTGGAGGAGTGGGGAATCAAACCTGGTTCCCCAGATTACGAGTCTACCGCTCTTAACCACTACACCACACTGGCACACAGGTAATACTGATAATTAGGTGTAAGATCTGTCACATAGTTGACTTTGACTAGTGGGACCAGGCCAAAGAGTTGGAGGTGGCACCGTAGAGTTTGGCAGCTTTCTTCCCATTCCAAATTGTAAGCACAAGGTGAGGTGGGGAACTTCTGTTCAGGACTGTGGCAGTGGCAAAGAGTTAAACCTCTCCTCCCCACTGTGCCTTGGTCCCCATATGATTCAGGGTACCCTGTGCCAGATATTGGTTGAAGAAAATCCCACTACTCAAAGGCAAACTATGACACTCCAGCATAGCGCTAGGCTAGATGGACCAGCAGTGTGACAATCTGCAGAAACTTCCCACGCTCCTTTTGAGTCCCTGGTTTGGTGTGTTTAATGCAGAGACGGCAGAGGCAGAAATGAAGAGCTGGAAGTATTCTGGCAGAGGAGTACGTGACTAAGTTCAGGGGTAGAAAACCTCATCGACTGGTTCAGAGACTCGCATGCCTGTACATGCCCAATGGGTGTGAATTAGGAAACTGAGCATTTTTAGATGTATGCAAAGTAACGTGAAACGAGGGCAAGGAACTTTCAGAATCTCATATTAATGCTCTATGCAAACACTTTTGCAGAGAGAGTGTAAAGTTCTAAACAATTTCTGCAGCTTAACCTTTTTGGCACCTCAATTCAAACCCAATTTATACATGGAGCGAGAAAAGTCAGAGACACTTTTTTTTAAAATAACAAACTGGAAAATATGCGATGATTATTACTTTTAATTAGAAACCGAGACCTTTAACCAGCTTTGCAGGAGCCCATCACTCTAACACATACAGAGTGTATTTATGCAGGTGATTCATTCATTTCCAGTGCTATGCAGAGGTATTTAGATACGCTGCTCCCGTTAACAAGACTATCTGTTGCCCAGTCTCAATTTGTGTTAGCAAATGGCTGTGCAACAAATCTATGTGTTGCTGGGTTTTTTAAAAAACACACACACACAAAAGAAGCCAATAGACATGTTAGTGGATTTCATGCAAATCATTCTTTAAAAAAATAATTTAAAAAGAAAAAAAGGTTCTTATCTGCGCTTTGGGACTCAAAGGGATTTTGCATTCAATTAAAGGGGAATTTGCTGAAATAATGGAAGGATGATGAAATTTGGCAACTTCAGATATACTCAGCATAGCAGGTGCTTCAGTAATGCTTTAGGTATGCAGCACGTATATATAAATTGGAGAAAAGGGGGGGGGGGAGAAAGTAGCCTGTTTTTGAAAACATTTTCTTTTTTTGAAACTAAACTCCAGTGAATTAAAGGAAGATGCAATCTTACTGCAGGATAAAAGGAAACTCCAGGGATTGAAAATAAAAGGTTTTCTTAAATGCCCAAAGGTATAATGCTGGAAGGCCACAAATTGAGAAGTCCTTTATATAGGACCATACTCAACTTTCCACAGTGCTAGACAGACAGAAGAAAACAAACAAGATAAAAATGGACCAGTGGGTTCTTAGGCACACCTCAGTGAAATATGCTTTCTTGGCTAAGTGCACTCCACTGAACACTCCTTATAAATTGAACTCTGGACAAGGACGTTAATATCCTATAAATAGCATCATAATCATCAGCCTACTACTACTACTACTATTATTATCATTATTCATTCATCACCACATATTCAAAAATGGTGATTTACAACAGGAGTCACAAATTGCACTCAGTTATATCTACAAGCGGTGGGATGTGGGGGGCGCTGTGGGTTAAACCACAGAGCCTAGGACTTGCCGATCAGAAAGTCGGTGGTTCAAATCCCTTTGATGGGGTGAGCTCCCGTTGCTCGGTCCCTGCTCCTGCTAACCTAGCAGTTCAAAAGCACGTCAAAGTGCAAGTAGATAAATAGGTACCGCTCTGGCAGGAAGGTAAACGGCGTTTCTGTGTGCTGCTCTGGTTCGCCAGAAGAGGCTTAGTCATGCTGGCCACATGACCCAGAAGCTGTACGCCGGCTCCCTCGGCCAATAAAGCGAGATGAGCGCCGCAACCCCAGAGTTGGTCACAACAGGACCTAATGGTCAGGGGTCCCTTTACCTTTACCTATATCTACAAGCAGGGGCCGTTTCTTATTACAGAAAAGCATGGTTGGTGGTATCCCTGCATCTTGTAAGAACATAAGAAGAGCTCGCTGGATCAGGCCAGTAGCCCACCTAGTCCAGCATCCTATTCTCACAGCAGTCAACCAAGATGCCTGTGGGAAACCCTGCAAGCAGGACAAGAGCACAAGAGCACGGTTCCCTCCTTGTTTCCAGCAGCTGCTATTCAGAAGCATCACTGTCTCCAACTGTGGTCATCACCTTCATGGCCCATGGAGGAAGAGCATAGCCTCCATTGTGGGTAGCAGCCACTGATAGCCTATACACTGTGCGAATTTGTCCAAACCTCTTTTGAAGCCGTCCAAGTAGGTGGCCCATCACTGTTCCCTGTGGGAACGAGTTTCACAGATTAACCACACGCTGCATGAAGATGTACTCTCTTTTATCTGTTTGGAATTTCCCAATGTTCAGCTTCTTCGGTTTAGGTATTATGAGAGAGAAGCTTTGGATCTATCCATTCTGTCCAGTCTACTCTCTCAAGAAACTACAAGCATGCAGATTCCCAAACTGTGGGCTGGGGGCCCCAGGAGTGTATTTGTAACTAGGGAGGCTGAAATGCACCATTAAAATTGTATGCCACCCATGTTGAAGTTTAAGTCCTCTGGAGTGGAAAGGCCCTGTGCAGAACTGATTCCACCATGCTACTGGCACCCTGCAATGGCATCCCCAGTGGAAGGGGGATGAGCCAAGAGCCCTTGGTGTGGCCCAGGGTAACCCTTTGGTGGCACAAACGATTGCCATTGTTCTCTAGAAGATGATCAAGAAAATAGGATTGTATTTTCCTGAGTGCAGGAATAAGATCCGCACCCCAAGTTTTAATCAGGGGGCGGGGGTGCCCTAGGTTTGGGAAATGCTGACCTAGCTTTTCATCAGATGCCACTGCAGCTTCTTAGCTATGTCTTAAGAGCATTTAACATCCCCAATTAAACCCGTTTTGCTAATTGCCATTTGTCCCAATTCTCTGCACTAACGTGGGCTAAAATAATGGTTGGGGGGCAGGGAGCCAAACAAACAGACAAGAAGTCAGCAGGACACAATGGGCCTGCAGTGATTTTGTTTCTGACTTATTTATTGAAATGCGATTTACAGATTAACTTTCTTTGCTCGGCATTTATTATCTTTCCACCAGCCTTGAAAATGGGAGCTCCAGGCACTTCAGTTAATGAAATAAAAGGCTGCTTTGTTTCTGCAGAAACATTATTTTGTACCAATGCCCAACGAACCGCAACAGCTATCACTCTGGTCTCCCATGGAGAGAGAGTCAGGTGTGTGTGCCAAGTCCCTCTGATGCACTGTTTCAGTTGCCACATTATTACCTCTAAAATAACACCAACAGGTGTTCTTACTTGGGCTTTTCGTGTTAAACAAATAGGCCAAATATGCTTAATTTTCTCTATCATATCTTCTTGAATGAACATTTCAAGACTCACTTTCTTGTCTCCTTTACTCTGCCCTTCCCATCTTCCACTGCTGCATTTTTAATGTTATTTTTTTAAAAAATGCCTTGTTTTTAATAAATCTTTGGTAGTAGAGTGGACATTTGGAAAAAACCAATGCAAGCATCACTAAAGAGTATGAAAGTTTTCATCATCATAAGGAATGTAGGTTCTCGACACTATTCCACATCAGGTGACTTTGGCATCAGCCTGAATAAGAATGCACCTAGCTAGGCTCGAAGAATTTTGTCAATGAAGCACAGCATAGCTACACATGCACATTCTCAACAGGCAGAGTGATCCAAACTGCTGCAGCCTGGCAACTCACGCCAGCTGTGGAAAGGAAGGTGGGGAGGCTGGCTGGTTTGATCCCTGTACCAATTTCAGGATGGTGCAGCAATCAGGTTGGTACGAGCTGTGAGAACAGTCTAGGATTCACTGGCTCCCAGGCTCACTCTGGCTCGCTGGGAGGCCCAATTTGGAGCTTTCCATTGGACTCTGCCAGCAGAGATACCAATGGCAGGCTTTCCACTTGCCCATTCCACATGTGGAGGGGTTAGTTCTGCACTGGCAGAGCAACACAAGCCAGCGGAGCCAGAAAAAGCGAGCGGAAGGATGCCTATGCCCAATCCAAACTGTCCACAGTCTGGCATATAAGAGGGGTTTGGATTGCAGCCCAAATTCCCCACCATAGCTGAAACTTACAAAGCAAACTTAAAAAAAAAAAAATCCACAGCAGGAAACATGGAGGAAGCTGAAACTGGATACACTACACCCCCCCTTTTGCAAGAAGAAGTGTTTTCCAAGTGCATCAGACTCCTTGGGCTGAAGCCAATATTGTTTGCCACTTCAAAGAGTTTGAAAAGGAGACAGCACATGATGTTGAACTTTTGCGGACTATGTGTATCTCCCCCAAACTTTAAATTATACCTTTAGGCTTTGGGAAGCTCTGAAATCCCATTTCAGCCCAGAGTATGTGTTTTGGGAGAGCACTTGTTGTTCATTTACTGCACTAGTTTCCCATTAACAATTTCAGATTGCAATTCTATCTTATCACTGGCGTTCCTATAATCAGGCCAGTGAAAAGGGGAGACCGATTTTCTCAGTAATTCCACAATGAACATCCATTCCTACCCTTTCTTCCCCACCATTTCCTGGGCTTTAAGTAACAATTTTGTTTTGTCATTACTTCTCCATTTACCATAACTAGGCAAGCTACAGGGTTTCGGTGCCTTTTGTGTCCTGTCCCTACCAGCCTCTCTGCCTTTTCCATGCAATTTCAGCCAAAAGCCATTGTTCTAAACACACACACACACACACACACACACAAAAGTCTGAGAGGTTTATATCGTGCTTTTCTTCCTCTGTCTCATTTCTGGAGTTATTTTTGGTCTAAACAAATCAAATCGGATTCTTCGCTGTTGTTTAAGAAATAACAGTGCTGGGTTTTTCTATGTCTTTATCTGCAGTATTAAGCCAAGTGAGAGAGGAAGGTTCAATGTTGGATGGGCCCATTTCTTTTCCCTTTTGAGTTCCTCTCAAGTATCTGTACACTGTGTTCCACGAATGCTTTACCAAGTCTCGCTTGCAAAACTTCTGAAATCAAAAAGTGTGTTGGTCATGAATGGTCCAAAAAAAAGAAGGGGGGGGGAGAGGGAGAATCAATTTTCCATCGCTTTCCTTCCAGTGGCCCCAAGCAACTGAGAGGTTGTTTACAACAGGCCTATACAAGCAACTATTCCATGGAAGCTCAGTGACACTTGCTTCTGAGTCGGAAGGATCACAACTGAAAGGTACCAGGACTTGCCATTTCATAAGCTGCAGCCAGTTAAGGGCAATTTGGAAGTGCTGGTAGGAGACTGCTATTGTTTTTGTAGAATATCTTCAACCACAAGAACAAACAACCTTTTGTACTTATAAATTTGTGCCCCAGAGGGTTTTGCAAAGAAAGCACAATGTGTTAGCATAGTGAGCAGGGAAGAGCCTTTAGTCCCATAACAGTGAAAGGAGGGAGACTTGGCTCGTGGTCCTTGCTGAGAGAATAGGATTGTCACAAGTTACACATGAGCATCCCTCCAGCTATCCTTATGCTGGGAGACGATGGAATAGCACAGTTTAAGCTCCAATGAATCTGTTATACGGTCTGCTTTACCAAGAAGCTACATGAAAGGCTCTCTCGTGCCATGGATTCTGGAGACAGCTCTTGCTTCTGCACCTTCAGGTCAACAACTGTGTGCTCATGACATTTAGAGCAGTTCCAGTCCACAGCACAGAGAAATAAACCACCGGAGGAAATGACAGTCTTGACTGGTGCCCTCCGGACATTTTGGACAACAACACCTTTCAGCCTTGTCTGTTGGCCATGCTGATGGAGGCTGATGAGAGTTGGAGTCCTAAGCATCTCAACTGTACCTGGTTGAGAAAAAGCCTGATCTAGAGGATGAAGCATCATTTCTGCCTGCAGTGTAGGGGCAGAGGCTGCATTTGGGAGAGAACACAAAAGAGCCATGGAAGAGCCATTGAAGTTGGGTTAGGAAGCAGAAGGCTGCCTTTGTAAGAGTTTTTGTGTTGGAAAAAGGAAAAAGGTACTGCATTTGAGATCTTTTGAATGTTTGAGAAGGATCTGCCTCAAGAAGTCCCAGCTATCTCCTCATAACTAAAACCACCTCTGGAGAGCAGATGACAGTATTGGTGGAAGCTTTAAAGGGGGGTCAGGGGGGTCAGGGTCTCCATGGTTGTTGCCTGAAGACAGAAAAAAACTAGAAGAAGTAAAAAAACAAAACCCTGAGAAATGTATCCCTCTTCAGAGAAGACTCAGTGTGAGCAAACAATCCATTTTTAAAGAGCCAGCAGAAAAGGTGGGCAAATTACCTGCAGTGAGAAGACAGCAGGATCAAGATAACTCATGAGGAACTCTCTCTCTCTCTCTCTCTCTCTCTCTCTCTCTCTCTCTCTCTCTCTGCTAAACCCAGATTGCAATTCTGGGTTGTGCCCTCAAACACATTCCAGACTGCGTGACCAAATATTTATTTGTTTTATTTATTATAACTGACATCTTCATACCTGGCGTTGCTCAGAAATTATGAGAACATTCCTCCCCCCCCCAAAAAAATCTGTGCAGTTATAAAACCAGCAGTGAAAATCAGTGCAGTTATGAAATCAGTCATTAAAACCAGGGTAGCTTTGAAAGGTTTGCAATTCAAAACTGTGTCCAGATGTGCTCAAACATTTATTAAAGCCTGCTCCTTGGTCTCAGGAACAATCATGCAAAAATTTGGCTCTGGTATCGTAAGAGGTGTCCAAATGCATAGTGAACAGCCAAACAAACTTTCCAAAATATATAGCAAATTACATTTATACCACACATTTCTTCCAAGGAGCTTCTCATGTCATCCTCACAAAACTCTGTGAAGCAAGTTAGGCTGAGAAATGATGATGTTGGGCCCAGGGTCAGCCAGTGGGCCATAGCTAGTGAGCTTAATGACTGACTGGGGATGCAAATCCTGGCCCCCCAGGTCCTAGCCTAACACTCTAGCCCAGGCATAGGCAAACTAGGCCCTCCAGATGTTTTGGGACTACAACTCCCATCATCCCTAGCTAGCAGGACCAATGGTCAGGGATGATGGGAATTGTAGTCTCAAAAACATATAGAGGGCCAAGTTTGCCTATGCCTGCTATAGCACACTTGGAGGAGGAGAACACCCAGGTTGCTGTGCTACCACCTGGGTTGCTGGAGCAGCTCGCTTGAAAGAAACACACAGACTCTGAGATACCCAGGGGGGAAATAAATAGCTCTTA